TTCTTATCAATTTTATACTGTTGTTGTAAAGATTAAATGAAATATGAAATGGTGTACATAAAATGTCTCATACACCATAGGTGATCAGTCAATATACATCTTTTTGTATAGATGCTTAGAGTATTGGATAACTGGTTTAAAAAATTAAGTTTTTTCCTTATTACAAAGTGTTCATTGCAAAGAAATTAAACACACACAAGCAAAAGGACAAAAGTAAAATCATGCATAATCCCGGTGATAACTACTATTAACAAAGTGCAATATAATCTTTCAGAAAATACACACACATATATATACATTTACGTACACACACAGCCACACACACACACATACACATTCACAAATATACATACACACATAACCAAAATTTGGATTATACCACAGAATTATTTTGCAAGCATTTTGTTTCCCTTTCACAGTTAATGTACGATGACCGCCACTGCTCATTGATTTTGTTTCGTTTGGTCAATGAGCCACTTGGTAATTGGAGGCAGGCAAGCTCAGGCTCCATGTAGTTTGGAGTGGAAAGGTAGGCTCAGGCTGATGGGAGCATGGTGGTAGGTGGGGGTTAGGAAGGTGTTTCCCCAAGGCTGACACAGTGGAGTCTTGACAGCCGGGGTGCGAACTGGTTTGTGTGAGTCAGGACAATAGGCTATGATTAACGATGAACTACTTAACCCAAACAGGGTAAGTAGTTCTCTGGTTCACTCCACTGATGGGATGACTGTTCCACCTGCCCAGTCAAGTCAAGTCAGGTAGGATTTTATCTGAGTTTACTGACCCAGCACTGTGCTAGGTGCTAGGTGGGGACACAGGAAATAACTTCTGTTCTCAAGCTGCTGATACCCATCTATCAAATCACACACCAGTTTGAAAACACTAAGTGCCACCCGAGAAATGAAGATAGATAGGTAGGATGGTGTGAAAAAGAGTGCGATTTGCCTTCCAGCTAGCTTTTTTGTTTGGGGCTAGTAATGGTTCAGGGCAAGGTTTGGCAGGGGAGAGAAAGTTCTAGTCTGGGAGGCTATGGACGGCAGGAGATGTGAGCTGATTTGGGGTAGAGCCCAGGGAGGAGTTGGTTGGTGGGAGAGGGGCCACTGAAGAGGACCTCAGAAACACTACGCTGAGCAGGGATGGGACTGAGAAGGGGCGTTCAGTAAAGGAGCTATCCTCTTGGAAGTCGTGTTGGGGAAAATGCAAAATAGAAGCGGAACCCATGTTAGGCTCTGGAGTTGGAAGGTGGTCAGGTCAGCACCAGATATACCTTAGACACTTGATAGCACGGCGCATGAGAAGAACAGAATTTTATAAAGATTAACTGAGGAGCCTTCAGATAAATGGGGGAAGAGTAAGTCTACAGTCAGGGAGGCCAGTTAGTTATTAAGGGTTGAGTGACTAAACCAAGGAGGAGGCTGTAGGAATGGAGTAGAAAGAAGGGTCAAATCGGAGAAACATCATAAAGGTGAAGCTTGCTGATAGGAGGTTGAAGAGAAGGAAAATTTGAAATGAGACCACCATTTACAAGCCAAGTCAATCAGGAGAGTAAGATTGCCAGTGACAGAGACAAGTAAGGAAGGCCTACTGAGAGGTGGCCTACATGAGTGGAAACATAGCACAAGACTGCGCTCCTTGAGAAATTCTACTGAAATAATTCTAGATTTTTTCTATTGTGATTTGCCTGTGTGGGTGTGTGGGTATGTGTGGGTATGTGTGCACATGGAAAAAACCAAGTTGTGTTGCTGGAAAACCCAGCCGCTAAACTCAATGGGGATTAATGCTCCTATTGTCTGTCTACCCATGGGTTCAGTTATAATATCTAAATGGCATGAAAACATTGACTCGTATAATTGCTGTGAAAATCCTGGATGTGTTTCCTTGTTATAATACACATATACATTTTAGTGCTTCAAAAGTATTCAGAATCACATCTGCTTCTTATGTTTGTAAAGAATAAACAAATGGTGTATGGAGCTAAACATCAGCCTCTAGCTGATACAATAGTCACTTCCTAAAAAAGTGTTAAATTATTGGGGCACCTGAGTGGCTCAGTCGGTTAAGCATGTGACTCTTGATCTCAGCTCAGGTCTTTATGTTGGGGTCCTGAGTTCAAGCCCTGTGTTGGGCTCCACGCTGAGCATGGAGCCTACTTAAAAAAAAAAAACGTATTATGTTAATAAATTAATAAGCCTTGGTGCAAATAATCTACAGGAAACCATATATTTCAAAGTTTCACAAATTGGATGAGGTAAAAAGAACCAAGGGCCATGCTTATATAGGCTAGGCTGAAATGGAAGAGGCCATTGACTACAATAGAATTTTATAAATTTTGGAACATATCTACAAAAATCTTAAAATATAAATGTCCAAGATTGAAAGCAAGGGAAATTATCAGTTATAGGAAACGAGGAAGAAATGAAAAGCTGAAAGCAGTAAGCGGGATTAGGTGACTCATGGGGGTGATGAGACCTGTAAGGAATTTCAATGAACATGAGTTCAGCAGACATGCCTCAGGCCACTTCATAAAGCCTAGAGTTTAAAAGGGTTGCTATAGGAATGCCTGAGTAGCTCAGTCAGTTAAGCATCTGCCTTCAGCTCAGGTCATGATCCCAGGGTCCTGGGATCGAGTCCCACATCAGGCTCCCTGCTCAGTGGGGAGTCTGCTTCTCCTTCAGTCTGCTACTCCCCCTGCTCGTGCGCTCTCTCTCTGACAAATAAATAAAATCTTTAAAAAAAATAAAAGGGTTGCTATGTCTATGAAAAGGGGATAGAAAAATTCTACTCATAAACCCACTAGAGGTGAGGGGGTCCACATTTACACAAGTGGAAAAGAAGTCCAAGAAGTTAATATAAAAATTGGTGTGGGAAACCTAGAGGGCCTTGGCTGAGAACAACATGGAACTACTCTGCTAGGGCATTCGCACGATTCAGAACCTGAAAGTAAACAGAACATGCAAAAATACAAAATCACAAATCACACAAGGAAACAAATCACTATGAGATCCAGCAGATGAAGAAATACAAGCATTAGGGGCACCTGAGTGGCTCAGTCGTTGAGCGTCTGCCTTCGGCTCAGGTCATGATCCCAGGGTCCTGGGATCGAGTCCTGCACTGGGCTCCCTGCTCCTCAGGGAGCCTGCTTCTCCCACTGCCTCTGCCTCTCTCTCTCTGTCTCTCATGAATAAATAAATGAAATCTTAAAAAAATTTAAATCTTTATAAAAAAAGAGAGAAATACAAGAATTAGTACTTCAAGAACTGAAGAATAGAACCATCTAAAAGAAAGTATCAAAGAGGGGAACTTCTTACACTGTTGGTGGGAATGCAAGCTGGTGCGGCCACTCTGGAAAAACAGTATGGAGGTTCCTCGAAAAGTTGAAGATAGAGCTACCCTATGGCCCAGCAATTGCACTACTATTTACCGCAAAGATACAAATGTAGGGACCCGAAGGGGCACCTGCACTCCAATGTTTATAGCAGCAAGGTCCACAATAGCCAAACTGTGGCAAGAGCCGAGATGTCCATCGACAGATGAATGGATAAGGAAGAGGTGGTGTATATATACAATGGAATACTACTCAGCCATCAGAAAATGAGATCTTGCCATTTGCAGTGATGTGGATGGAACTAGAGGGTATTATGCTAAGTGAAATAAGTCATTCACAGAAAGACAATTATCATATGATCTCACTCATGTGGAATTTAAGAAACAAGGCAGAGGATCATAGGGGAAGGGAGGGAAAAATAAAAAAGACGAAATCAGAGAGAGAGAAAAACTGTAAGAGACTTAATCAACTGAGGGTTGCTGGGGGGGAGGTGGGATAAGGGGATGACGGGCATTAAAGAGGGCACGTAATGTAATGAGCACTGGGTATTATACAAGACTGATGAATCACTGACCTCTACCTCTGAAACGAATAATACATTATATGTTAATTAATTGAATTTAAATTAAAAAATAGAATACAGAGAAATTGATGCAAAAAAAAAAAAAAAAACCCTTGCCTAGTGAGACATCTACAAGGAGAAATTCTAAAGCACTATTTCTAGAATAAGAAATATTCTCCTAACACAATTTTAATGCCTCAGAAGCACTTTGTGTTCTTTACCTGTGGTTGTCCCCAGTGTCTGATAGGCAAAAACCTCCAGAAGGCTGCAGAAGCCGTGGTTTTATGACGTCATCACATTAGCACCATGCTGCCTCTTGCACCCATCACGTTGTTTACCATCTGCCACATGTGTGCTTTACACACATCGACTCATGTAATCCTCCTACAAGCCCACCTACGAGATAGGGAGCTTTGTTTCCATTTACAAATTATTTTCATGTAGTAATTGAGGCCGGGGGAGAGTAAGTAACTGGCCTAACACAACTAGTGAAGAGCAAACCCAAACCCAGGCAGTCTGGCTCCAAAGCGCTGTTCGTAACCACCACACCGGACCAAAGGCTGTGTGGCCATCTGGGTGAATTGATCGTGTATTTGCCACTGGGAAAACCCACCCTGGTCTTCCTTCCTCCCTCCCAGCTGCCTATCTTCCATGAATCAGTCAGCTCTCTTCTTCCATGAATCACTCATGACATTCTCCCCTACATTCTCATAATCTCCTCTTTCTTTTCCTTAAGCATAGGAGATGTGGGCAAGGGGAGGAAGGCCAAACTAATGGTTTTGGGGAAGAATACTTAAGATCTGAAGTTGGCCAATGAAATGTCATACTTGGTTCCTTTCTGGGTGGCCTCCATGACGTTCTAACGTTCATTTGACAGAATGGTCTGTGACCATCCAGACACTGGACAGACATTACTTCATACAGAAAATAATGTGAAAGAAGTTGATTTTATTTGGTGTCAACATCAACACATATCTTTTGAAGCTCTATGTATTAGCAATTTTCCTAAGCACTAGTTTAAGAGACAGTGTAATGAAGAGAACAGTTTGCTTTTATATTTTTAACTTATGGTTTTAATTAATTGCCTAATGTTAAAAAATTGAGCTGAAGCCTGACTGATTGTATAACTTTAATATTTGAAAAATTTTATCCAGAAATGAACTTAATACAATACAGATTTGTACAAAAAAGACAGACTGTTAAAAACTTTTGATCATACAGACAAAAATATGATTAAGCAAAGATTTAAAAAGGACAGGACATTTTGTAAATACTGATAAATACTGCACAATGCTTTAATTTACTGTGGCAGATATAAAAATCAAGACTTCCTTAACAGATTATATTAAAAAAAGCAACTACATGAATTTTCTAGCTATTTAAATTAATGAAATAGGACAGTAGTGGTTTTGTTTTTTTTTTTAGAAAATGAGGTATTATTACACTGTAAACCAAAACCAACATAAATAAATAAAGGCAATGTGTAATTAAGTGACAAATGGTTACAAATTTCAACTTAATAACAACAGACAACAATAATTTTCTAGTTCCTTATGGACTTTGTCATGTAAAAATTTGGCTTGCTTGTGTACTTATTTAAAAGTGACAGAGCTATCGATAAACAAGCACATCATTAAACATGCAGACCAAGCCAACACAATTTTTCCGTCTCTACCAAATAAAAACTCTGTTTTATTTAAAACACTTAAATCTGATTTCTTATACGTGATTCTTTTGTGCTTATTAGTAAGTAGTAACCTACGTTCTAGTCCAAGCAGTCTAACAGAGAAGCAGTTTTATTCGCAGATGGATAAGAAACAGAGCAAACAAAACAAAACCAACATGCCTTTAACTCTCTTAGGCTTTTCCAAGATTTTTAAGAAGAAAAATCCTTTACATAGTACACCCAGTGGAAAAGCAGAGTCACTTCCTTTGCAAGGGGAACAGTAAACGAAGGAATTCCTATTCCTCAAAGATTCGCGAATTGGCCCCAGCCCTACAGGAGAACGAGTTGATTCGTTCCTCCACCCGAAAAGAATTCTGCTGGTTGAGTGTAGGAAGCATAGCAATAAGAAAACAGTGTAACTAGGAAAAAACCGGGGGACAGTATTATTTGCCTGTGAACCATATGCTGGTACTAAATGCTGGCTTCATTATTATTGCAAATGTATCTTCAGAGTTTCCTGAAGGAAAGTTATCAAAGTATAATAAAGAAGTCTTGATTCCGAAATATTTGTAACATGCCAATAAAACTGCTTCATTTGCTGTAAATAAAAAGAAAACCATTTACAGTCTGACTTAAAATGTAGTTTCTTTTTACATGCTACTTATTGAGAAACTCCAAAAAGGGTACTTTTGAATTTACTACATTCAGAATCCAGTGAAATACAAACATTTTGGCCAAAACGTTGAACTTTATTTTTACACCAAGCTATATCATTTTGACACAGATGTTATTATTGTATTCACTTTTGTCAAATATCTTACCCTAGCCTTTCCCCAAAATTAGTGCTTCAGTACAACTGGTAATCAAAAAATATTAGAAATAAGCCTTGTACATCAATCAAATTATATATAAAAACAGTTCTTTTGTGCTTGTAATTGACTTAATTTATCAACAGTTAGATCTGATATCCCCTCTAATGTTCTGACCCTTAAGAAGAAATGATCATTATACAAATATTACAGAATACTCAAAGTAACTAGCTTACTGCCAATGTGCATGCAGACTAACATTACTTAAAAGAACAGAACCTCGAATCCAATTAGTCTGAAAATAGTTAACACTCTTGTACAATCATCTTTATTGATTTGTAAAAGCTGTATACACATCTAAAACCCTGAATTTACTTTGTAAAAATAAATCTTTTAGCAATAAATGGCACTATCAAAATCCCATTATTCTCAGGCTAATATGTAGTTATTTACATGCTTTTCAGCAACAGTCGAAAAGGATCTTATAGGACCAAAGCCAGTATATCAAAAAGAAACCAACCCTGTGAACAGCATTTATGCTGTTGTTGTTTACCTCTATATGAAAATATGGCTACATGCCTTGCACGAACGAGAACGGAGCTGTGTGTGCCACCGGGCCCCACCGGGCTCCACTCTGCGGTCAGCGCGTTCTTCACTGCGCTTTGCTTTCCCAGTGGAGCACCTGTGAGAAACGACCTATGGAGACTCATAAAGTGCTATAAAAAGGAAGGGCCGGACCCACACCTGTCTCTGCCATCTGGGCTTCTCCTCAAGCAATTTCTGTGTTTTTAGAAAATCATGCCTCCCCCACTGAACATACTTCATATTTGATTTAAAAAAAAATCAGTATTTTAAAGTTGGTGAGCTTTGTCAAGGTGCTGTGAGACAGAGACATGAAAAGGTTAAAGGCACAATAAGAGGGAAGTGAATGCTACATATAAAATGTATTTCAAGTCTTCTAGGTCACTCAAGTCCAAAACCTTCTGAATTTGAAATTCCAATGATCAATTTCTGTTTTAGGTCCTTTTTGCTCTTGTAGGGGGGAAGGCAAAGTTGATTGAAGCAGGTGTGGGCCACAGGCAACCTAGGGGAAAAATTTTTTTTTAGCGATACTAAGTCTCACAATACACACTGGATCAGCGCAAAGCTACTCTCAAACATGGCCGACTCAAATCTAGTTCGCTATGCCGAGAGGCGACTCCTTAATTCCTTCACTGAACAGATACTTACAGAGCACCCACTATGTAATGGCACCGTTGTTCTAGACACGGGGGCTGGGTTTACAGACCAGACGGCCAATGTCCCTGTGCTCTTGTGAAACTTGCATCCCAGAGGCTTTACTGTTGGAGGCAGATCTGAATTTGAATGCTGGTTCCCCAACTTACTGGCCGTGGGATCTTGTTCGAGTGGCTTCATGTCTCCACGTCTCAGTGTCCTTGTCACCACAGGGTAAACTATCCAAGTGGGTTGTTTAAAAGATTTAAAGAGCTATGCGCATAAAACACGCGGCAGAATAGTGGATAATACAACTGTTATTATTTGTCTTGACTGTCCAAAAATAATAAAAAGAACATTCCTGGATACTTGACGCCCGTGCTTTCAGTGCTGCTGCCCTCAGGCACACGCGGCATCCATCCTCTGCACCTTCTGGACCAGCCCCAGCTTCTCCCTGATGACACTGTCTATCTGCACTCTAGATTGCTACCCTTTTCCTAGGCCCTTCCTTCATCCTGCAGACGTTAGGACCTTTGCAGCATCAAAACAGCCATTGGAGAAGTCAGTGAATAAAAATGGGGAATGTGCCAGAGAAAAGAACATCTTCAAACAAGTTTGTAGGATTAAAAACTAAACTTTGACAGCCCTGTTTTAAAAGATTTAAAATTATTACAATCAGTTTGCATTTATTGAGTGCTTGGTCTACGACAAGCATTGTGCTAAGTGTTTTTATATGCAGTGTTTAATTTAAGCCTCAAAGCAACTTAAAAAGTGGTTTTTGTTATCCTCATTTTACTGATGAGGGAAACTAAATATGGGAACATACAGGTTAAGTAATCTGTTCAACGCCATAGAGCTGGTGAAGTTGTAGACCCATTAATCAAACCCAGATCAGCCTTACCTCACACCAATACTGTTACCATGTAAAAATTTAACATTCTTATTTAACAAAAATCTAGTGGATCTACAATGGTGATGTACACATCTTTGATGGACAACTATATTTAATCTATGTGAATATCCTACTGCAAATCCTAGAGTTGTGGAAGATTCATGCCTAAATGTGCTTATGAAATAATCTCTGAAATAACAATAGGAAAAGTTTAGGTGTAATATCACTTTTGTCTTAAATTACATTACTCACATTATCCTTTTTATTATTTATTTATTTATTTACTTACTTATTTTTAAGGTAGGCTCCACGTGTAATATCACTTTTGTATTAAATTACATTACTCACATTATCCTTTTATTTATTTATTTACTTATTTACTTACTTACTTATTTTTAAGGTAGGCTCCACGCTGGGTGTGGAGCCAAATGAGGGGCTTGAACTCACGACACTGAGGTCAAGACCTGAGCCAAAATCAAGAGTTGGGCGTTTAACCAACTGAGCCACTAAGGCACCCCTCAGGTTACTCTTTTTAAATTGACAATATTTTTGTTTGTCAATATTTTGAAAAACTAATTTCTGTTAAGTAAATAAGCGTATAACCTTAAAAAAAGCTTCTTTTGAATTTTTTTTCATTTTAGGTCTTTCAATGTAAATCTTATTTAGACATTTCTTAATTATATATATACGTATATAAATATTTGTTATATATATGGCCTCTACCTTGAGGGGCTAAATGACTAAGATAAAGGTGCAAGATGCTAAGTGACATAGGATTTCTATAAAATATTTGAGAAGTGAATCAAAGGAATGATGATTTTTTTTTTCATTTTTTTTTTTTTTAAAGATTTTATTTATTTATCTGAGAGAGAGAATGGGAGACAGAGAGCATGAGAGGGGGAGGATCAGAGGGAGAAGCAGACTCCCCGCTGAGCAGGGAACCCGATGTGGGACTCGATCCCGGCACTCCAGGATCATGACCTGAGCCGAAGGCAGTTGCTTAACCAACTGAGCCACCCAGGTGCCCTGGAATGATGATTTTTGGCTTTACGGAGGAAGTTGATGGGAAACTGGGTCTTTAAGGAGGGGTAGAACTTTCTTGAGTGGAGATACAGCAAGTGAATGTCATGTGTTGAAAGAACCACTTAAAGTATGAAAAAGGAAAGGACAAAATGTGTCTAAGGAATAGCAAAATAGCCTGCTGACTAAAGCATGACAAGAAAGGAAAACTGCTATGTAATCTTGGGGAGAGGACTGTAGAGCTTTATTGGACAGGCTCTAGAGTCTAGAACTTAAACTGAAGGAGAGCAGTAATAAAGCTATTATGGCCCAAGGAAATACCATAAGCAAAGCAGTTTTAAGGAAAATGAATTTAATAAGATAAAATAATTAAAAAGGGAAGAATCTGAGCAAGTAGACCAGGAAGAAGGCTATTTCAATAAGCTAGGAATGAGGCTAAAAACAACTACACCAGGGTGGTGGCCGTGGGAAAGGAAAGGACAGAGTCCAGGTCTAAAATGAAAGGAAGAGCTGACAAAGCTCAGGGAATATATTGGGTGGGAGAAAACTATGATTCTAATAAAAGCAGCGTCTACTCAAATCAGCTCTAGAAATTATAAGGTGTTTGGGAAAACAAGTAGATCAGCATCAACCCATTAATAATATTAGAAAACAAAGCCATCATTCAAAGCCATCATTATTACTTTCATATGCAAAGCGCACTAGATTAAAAAAAAAAGAGGACTACTAACTAGAGGATTTCTTGTACTAACTAAAATACAAGCCAAAAAACTCACCTTAATATTTTTAATAAAAAACACCTTTAAATAAGAATGAACATTATACAATGTACAACTAAAAGCCAGCTAGATTCTAAAAGAGACTACAAAGCAGTTGACTTAGCAAAGTAAAAAGTTGACAGAAAGGAATTATTGGTATTGGTAAGTCTCAAAAATGAATAGAGAACCTTAATGCATACTCTCTCTCATTTCAAGGTTGTATTTACTCCCAAGATTTTTTTCCTACAAAAATGACTTCTGATTGAAAGAATCCTCTAATTCCAAACATATTATTATTAGCAAAACCTACAGATTAAAAATAAAATTACAATCTGGAAATTTACCAGTTAGTAGAAGTTTCATTCTTTGAGATTTTAAAGTTCAAGTCAGCCATTCCTCCTACAGGTACTCTGTCACTTCCTGTAGTAAAATGTAGCAACTTCTTTTGAAGATCAAGAGGAAATCCAAGCACAACATCCCAAAAATATCTAAAGAACACCAAAGGAAATTTATATAAAATGTCTTGTCAAAAATCCTGCAGATCAGAATAAAGTAACATAAAGTAAGCTCTAAGGAAAAAAACTTCCCTTAAACATACATAATAGCCCTTAATGTGAAGTTAAGGAACGACAAGCTTCTATATATGAATTAGATTTTTGACTAACATTATGAAAGTAACATTTTTTTTTTTTTAAGTAGGCACCATGCCCAGCATGGAGCCCAATGCGGGGCTTGAGCTTAAGACCCTGAGATCAAGACCTGAGCTGAAATCAAGAGTCAGACACTTAACCAACTGAGCCACCCAGGCACCCCAAAAGTAACATCTTTATAGAATTATAAAAGTATTCCAACAGTAGATAGTACAAAAGCCATTTTTCTCCTCTATAATTTACAAGCCTTATTTTTTTTCAGCACAATGCTAGTAAAATGCTATTTATTTAGTATAGCATCCCTGAAATTCTAGAACCTGTCATTTTTTTTTTTTTTAAGATTTTATTTTATGTATTTGACAGAGAGAGGAGACAGCGAGAGAGGGAACACAAGCAGGGGGAGTGGGAGAGGGAGAAGCAGGCTTCCCGCTGGGCAGGGAGCCTGATGTGGGGCTCGATCCCAGGACCCTGGGATCATGATCTGAGCCGAAGGCAGACGCTTAACGACTGAGCCACCCAGGCACCCCCCAAGTCATTTTTTAAACAAGTAAAATCTTGGGGCACCTGGATGGCTCAGTAGGGTAAGTATCTGACTCTTGATTTTGGCTCAGGTCATGATCTCAGGGTCATGAGATCGAGCCCCATATTGGGCTCTGCGCTGGGTGAGGAGCCTGCTTAAGGTTCTCTCTCTACCACTGCCCCACCCCAGCTCACACGCTCTCTCTCTAAAAAAAGATTCAAAAACGAATCTCTATACTCTTGTAGAAACTTATTTATATCACTTTCTCCCAAGGGGACTGCTAAGTGATTTCATATTTAATATTCTCACATTACTTTCTAAAGATAAAATAAGGCAGTGTGGGACTCTACAATATTTCAGCTAACTTACTTGATTCAAAGATTATAAATGATACAAATAAGTTACACTCTCTTTCATCCCCTCTCCGGCAAGCTGACTCTCAGAAGTAGAATGGGCTAACCTTATAGTTAAGTCTGTTTTTGCGTAGCCATCATACTGAGTACTTCTCTGCAGAGCATGCATGTCCAGTTCGGGACTTCCACAGACCAGAATTTCAACCTCTTCTGGACGAAGCAGCTGCCAATAATTATTTTCCAAAAATGATAATAAAAAGTGATGATTAAAAAAATGAAATTGGAACTATCTTCACTGAATCAAATTACAAAACATATGACTTCTTTATAGTAAACCAAGCCATTTTTATTAAGGAAAAATCTCCATTTTTAGTTTTCTCCTGAGGTTAAGATATTTTTGCTCCTGAAAATTTATAAATCTTGTCAAACTATCAGGCTCTCCCCTTTGCAAATAGTAATTAGCAGTTTGCCAGAAAAACAAGCAGATGACTAAGCATGAATTCAAATGACAACTCTTCCCCACCCCCTCAGGCCTGCTTGAAACTCTCTTAGCTTATTCCAGCCTCCTTCCAATAGACCACATGCCTCCTAGGGGCACTGCAGAGTTTGGGTACTTGGTTATAGTCTGCCTCGTGTAGTTCACTGGTTTTTTCACCTACATAAGTTGTCCCTCACCTAAAGAGATTAAAACTTAAGAACAGAGACCATGCTGTGCCATTTAATTCTTATTTTCCCTCCCTCCACCCCCACAAGTAGCAGCGTGTCACAGACAAAACCCAGTTAGAGCTCAATGTAAGTGCTCCTTTTTCAAAGGTGCTTTTAACAACAAAAACGTGACAGAGGTTACCTTAAAACCAGTTCTCTCCTGTAACAATAACTCAGATGGAAGACCTTCCTCCAAACGCACATACTAAAACTGAGGGGAGATGCACATGGCATGACTAGCACCCCCTGCGTAGCTGGGGGAGAGCAGGGCTTCTTGAGAAGACTCTCACTGACTTTTATCTGCCATGGTGTGCTAAATGGCACTGACCCACCTTCACCTGGCTAAGGCATGTCAGACCAACCAGAGTTCATCATGACTCTGAGGACAAACTACTTCCTATGGGTAAAAGGGAACTCAGAGTTGCAGCAGGAAGCAGTTATAAATATGTTCCTTAATCAGAAGTTGTGGCTTCGGCCCTGGGGCTTACATGTTAACTCTGTTTTCTGTGCTTTGTCCCTCAGTATTAAGAACTTGGGCCTATGGGATCTCTTCATCTACTCTTAAGGAAAATTCTTAAAGCCCCAAAAGACATAGTATAAGACAGAGCTCAAGGAAAGAAAAAGGGAGTTGACTGGGCTTTTCTCCCATTACAGAATTAAGGCTGAAATGAGAAAGCTATTTTTACTTCTAGCTCTACCTTTAAAAAGTAAAAAATATTTTCTATTTTAGAAGCTTATCTATTTAAGGACTTATCTGTTAATATTATAGTATTACAAAATTGAAAGCATAATTTAGTTTTAAACTCACCATCAGGGCATTTGAAGCACACACACTATGAAATCCGTAATAAAATGCAGCAAATTGCTTATAGATGGATTTGTTGAGAAGAAAGTCAATATAAAGCTGCACATATTCTGGAAAGCAATTTTACATCCATTAAACAGTAAAAGTAAATGATAAATATTCATGCATTTCAATTAAGAAATGGTGTCTACCTACCTTTCCTATTTTGATTGGTAACTGGAATTTTATCACCACCTGGCTTTAAATTGTAGGATTTAATTATTCCAAATTCTTCTTGAAAAACCTGTTGGGAGATTCCAACACAAGATATTTATTGGTATGGTTAATATAATAATAGGCTTCCATGAACAGGTTTATAAAAATTTAAGAACACGCCTCCCCCCGCCCCATACAAACTACAGGGACTTAACCCTCTCTGTGGAGCACAGCTGAATACCTTACTGCTATTCATCGACTTATGTGGCCGTTTAGGTAATACTCAGGTCTTTGGAGCTCTGTGGATTACTCTGACTTCCATCTCCCAATTACTGTTAGGGGAGAGGAAATGAGACCATTTTGGTCTGATCCATTAGTTTCTGCTCCTAACTTCTTGTACTGAAGCTACAGGAGAGGCTTATTTTTTAGAAGCTGAAAAGCTCTGAGAAGGTAGCTGAATTAAGTCAATATGCCAGGTGCCTAGCAGAGTACCTGCACCCTTGGGGAGTTTCTTTAGGCACTTTCCTTGACTGGTCCTCTACACGTGTCTGCTGTATTGTCTCTGCATTATCAGGTTAAGAACCTTTATGATAAGGGATGGTGTGTGTTGATTAATCCTCGTTCCTCTTTTCTAATGATAGATATTGAATAACAAATGGCATTTTTCATATATGAAATACCTGGTTAACGGAAAGCTATTTGCCCTTAATGGTACCTGGAATGTCGAATAGAAATCTTCTTCAACATTGCCTTCATAGGATAGGAGTTCACTTAACCCATGGGCCAACTCCTGTAAAAAGAAATCTGTTACCTGTGTTTTTAATCAAATAATATTACCTAAAATAGTTAAGCAGATCTACCATAGTGAACTCATGTGAGATAGAGTAGATATACTCTTTCAGATTTTGAACTAAAGATAATATTTGGGATATATTTTTCCAGGGCACAAAATGTTTGTTAATGATTTCTACCACGTGAAAGGCTTGGAAAAACTCGGGAAGTCACGTAAGAGGAAAACATCCAGTTCAAATGACAGAGGCATAACTCGAATCTGTTCTTATGCAGTGAGTGAAGAGCACAGTCTCCATCATAATTCACTGCTATCAGCAACATTACTATTTATGAATTCGTAGTATTTTTCAACGTATATTCCTTAAAAATCTGCTGTCTTAGGATTCATCTTTTAAGCATCAAAACACAGTTCATACATGGCACATGGTTTCTACATTTCGGTTACAGTGCCCTTCTCTTCCCCCCAGAGTTGGGAACAGCAGAAGTAGTATTTTCCTATAACTCATGATATCCGTGAACAAAGATTTACAAACAGAAAAACTGACCCAATATCTAAAGATATTTTTCAGGTTTTATGAACAAAATTAAAGTTTTAATTTATTTTTAACTATTAGAGGAAAAGGTAAACAACAGCATAGAATGATCTTAAATACATAATAAATTTTCCATTCTGTTAAAATCAGAAATTTTTATACAAATCTAGGCTGGCATAGATATGGTATGACTGTCATCATTTGCTTCAATTATTAATAAAAATCATGAATGCTGAAAATTATAATTGGGAGTTTGCAATTTTTAAGAACTCCAGAGACTACCAGGTGAACCCAGGGGAAAGGACTTACCATCATCTTTCAGAGATGAAATTTTTAATGACAAAATACAAAGTCAATAGGTTATGAAGTTATGTATTCAGATCTGTTTTATTTGGGATTATAGGCCCTTTATTTCCAGACTTTGTATTTTCAATCCCCTATTTTTGTTGAGAATCTTTTTTTGTTTACCTATATTGTCAATCTTAGACTCTTAACTGTAATATGCTATTTCTAAAATACTATTAATTACCTGTATAAACTTTTTAGGATTTTGTAAACCCATAATTAGATAAAGAGTGTGTGAATATACTGAATACTGTTTTTACACACCATTTGAATACCCTTCCTGGCCTTATTTAATACAACATATTTGGGAGTGACTTAAGCAGAAGAGATATCATAGTTGCTGATTCAAGGATATGCTCGAGTCTCCTCTGTTCTGAACTAAAACCCTCAAGAGTAATTTTCACAAAGTTAAGGTTGGGAAGATTTCTTATTGTTGCCGCAGGACAATCCTGGTGGTTTGTCTAAGGAAACAGTGGAATATTACTGCATTTATTAGCACCACGCTGTAGGAATCTTGATTCATTATTAAAGGGCCAACATAAGAATATGAAATTAGCACAGTGAAAACTTCAGCTCCATAATATAATATTTCAGTGTAGTCATTCATAAAATATCCATTATTAACCAAAAAAAAGCTGGCTCTAAATGAGTCAAATTTGAATAGTTTTAATCATAAAATTAGGCAATTTATTGGCAAAAACTAGTAATAAAATTAGAAAATTGGTAAAAAATTTGACAGAAACTTAGTATGTGCAATTAAAAAAATTACAAAAATCTAAAATGAGATGGTACTCAGAGATTAGTCTATTCCCAACATTTTACAGGTAAGAAAATTAAGTGAATAATCCAGAGTCATAGCTAGTGTGCTGCAGATACAAGACTATAGAAGGGAGAACTTTGTTGTCGTTGTTGTTTTTTAAAGATTTTATTTATTATTTGAGAGAGAGTGAGAGCACGAGCCAGGGGACAGTGGGAGAGGGAGAAGCAGGCTCCCCGCAGAGCAGGGAGCC